CCCACTACACCCCCTCCCTCCCACCTCACCTTACCCCACCCATCACCCCACCACCATCACTATCAAGTGTACAATAAAATGTAAAATATTGAAACTTATGGTTTCTGGGTAGCAGTATTTCCTTATTCCCAGTCTCCTCACTCATCACACCACAGGACTCCCATTGACATTTTTGCGCCTGTGTAATTGAGTTTGAGGTTACCTGTTTATCTGTGAGTTTTAATAGTGATCCTTCGTAGCCCTAAAACCAAAGTTAACGAAAGATTTATCAATGGATTATTTTGTTATATTTCACCCACCCCCCCCCCCCTTAATTGGAATGATTGAAACCAGCAATATTAAATGAGTAGTTTGACTATTTGTAAAAATTAAAGTGGAACTCGAAAACGTGTGGTAAGCATCAAAATCAATAGACCCTTTTTTGAATTCGTAAAATACCGCGTGTGCTCCTTGAGTACAGACTTATTTACTCAGGGTTAGCCTCAAAAGATATTCACAAAAGAAGGCAATGTTAAAGTAAAGAATGCACAAATACAACAGTACAAACAATTTGAAATTCCACGGACCTTAACTGGAGCACACGAATATTATATTTTACACAAACTCTCGGAGGCCAAGCCTAATCAACAGAGAACTACTTGAGACTGGATTATGGCTTTGAAATGGCCTATTTCACTATGACGTCACTGCGTGTTTATGTGGGGGATAGAATCGCCAAATCCAATAGAAAATCAAACAAAATTTGCTCCTAGCGAAATAGTTTAATCTAAAATGGCCTGGTTTTCAGATATAATATGTGTTAATATGCATTAAAAACTATTCTGAGCGTTTGCTGGCTATTCTCTTTCTCTTCGTGGATTGATACGGTTTTTAGAACAATTTTCAGTGAATTGCGTTGATTTTACCCCGTCCGACGACCATGATCCTTTGCGTTTAATCAATAGATTGTTTTGATGTGACGTCATAGTGAATTAGGACAATCAGGCAGAACAAGCAAATATGGCTACAAACGGTATCTGTAGTATTAAAGCTGCCTCCCTAATTTTATCATTACCATAACCAATATCAATAGTGCGGCAGATGGGAAAACATATTCACATACACTGTAATGGCATGAGTCTCTTTCAAAGTACTTCGAAACTAAAAAACGTTTTTTTAACTGTTCCGCGACTTTCGACTGAATGACTTCCGTAAAACGCAAAAATGCTCAAATTTCATAATCAACGACTTCCATTTTCATTTTCGTTTTCATTTTCATTTTTCCTCTTGTATTCTTTTTCCGTGTTTACTTTTTTTTACTTTACTTTTTTTATTTTTTAAGAATCTTATATATACATTGAATATAGGTTACCGATTCAATTTTCCTCGATCCTAAACACTCGAATTAATGCAACTAAATTCAATGTTTCATTTTTTTCTGATTCTAACTTTAAGTGTGCAGATATATATGCAAACACCGATATGTATTTTGATTATTTCATTTGTTTTTACACGTTAATTATGGTAACGTTTAAATCCAAAACTAGAGTATAGATTAAATGTAACTGAATTATTAAGACCTCGCCATTTGAATGGAGTTTCTCTGACTGCGAGTTCGCCAAGACTCTATAGCATTGGGACAAATAATTAAACAATGAACTATAGCTACACAACTATTATCATTGATGTGTCATTCCACCTGCTATCGAACTGACAGCTAGAAATTGCTGTGCTTCTCAGAAAATACCCTTGAAACGACTACAAAGAACTAATTATATCTTAAAATCAGCATTGTCTTAGGCAACGTTTTCAGTAATAAATGTTTTTTTCGTGAGAAATTAAGGCTGTCCACGCCAAGTCACATTGCCATCCACGGACAAATTAGAATGATAAGAAATACGAGAATTAATTCCGATAGATACTTCTTAATTATGGAGATTGCTTTTCTCCTGAAGTAGATATAAAGCGAGCTGTTGTCTTACAAAAGGAGGCGAGCCAACCTTTATAGAGATACGTAGATATCGGCACAACTTCAAATCGACAGATTCAGAAATTATGCATTACTTAATCTTCGAACTTCTCCTTCTCTCTCTCTTCTTTTCTTTTCTTTTTCTTTTTCTTTTAGTTCATCAAAATCGAAACAGTTTACGAAATCTATTTATTTTTCCTTTTTATGTCCTTCGTTCCAAAAGAGAAACATATAAAAACAAATCCTATACTTGACTAATCTTTCAATATCGCATAAACTTTAAGCATATTCATTGTGCTTTGAGAAAGCTTAACAGGTCGGACTCCACCGCCGTTTCCTGCAAACGTTCGCTCGAAAAATATTGCTAATTCATCAATAAGAATGCGTTTACCCCTTATCTTCCGGTAAGCAGTTTTTGGTGGCGTATAGGTTGCGGAGTCAATTTTTTGGTTTTCTCCCAGTCTAGCAAGTTGTAATTCAAGAAGTCGAATTTAATGTTTATTTTGTTCGTTTTTCAATATTTACCGTTATTTATGCTTTTGTTATTTATTTTGTTATCCAAGTACCTGATAAGATAACTCTTTTATCGTAACCATTTTTATCCAGACAATTTGTAAAAGTTTGACGATGTTTTAACTAAACTCATAACGGAATTGTAATAAGATGAGGCTACAGATCATCTATCTTGATATGTCCTCGCAAATTCTCAGTCTGTTGGAAGATACACTTGACTAAATTATGTACATAGTTGGAAAAGATTAGCCTTTGAAGTGAAAGACAAACCAAATCCACACACCAGCAGTTTTAAATAAAAATAAAAAATAAAAATTACTAGCTATGAAACGAATGTCCAATGTCAGTTATATAGAAAAGGAATTGTGTCAATGATAAAAAATTTCGAGCTTCAAAACTTTTCACTCCGTGGGCGTTGTTCGTGTTTATGTTTACTTCACATTTTTTGATCTTAAAAGGAGTGACTGACCACATCTATGTATTTCAAAAACAGCACGGAACCTGTTGTCAAGTCCGAAACTTCAAAGAATTTTCTTTCAGAACCTCGTCAGAACATTGCCTTCACGTAGGTAAAGTCAAAACATGCCATATCGAGTTATTGAAAAGAACGTAATAGAAAGTTTTCGAATGACTGGTTTTCGTGTGTTTAGTAGGTAATTACGAGAAAATTGTGCAAAATTTGCAACTAATTTCGACAATGATGATAACGTAGCTTAAAAGATTCAAATTCATGCTTTTAACACTGGATTTGAGCGTCAGTAAAACTAATCTCTGGAGCTGTTTTTATGCCACTAATATAACTAAATCCTGTACACTAAGTTCACACTTTATATTGGATTAGGAAAAGATTATTTTTGGAGCGTAAGTGGAGCAGGAAGATGTTGCTATGCATCGTTTAACACTTTGCACAAACAACAGCTTAGTTATGTTATTTCTTTGTTCTAAACAACGTCACAAAGCTGCAGCACTTTCAAATATTCCAAAATCTTTTCATGCCGGATATTCGACACAAAATTATCCTCATTCGGGATAGACAACTTTGAATTTATTCGGAAAATTTGAGTTCCACACTAATTTTCCTTTGCTATTTTGAATCATAAAACTTAGCAAAGAAGCTTTTTATTTTTAGAGTCACCTGTGATCATAATTTACAAAAACAATTAATGGATTTTTGGTTTTTAATATTTGTATTTTAACTTCCAAATACGATAGCAAAGTTGGGAAAAATCTTTGGAAAAGTGAAAACAATTTTCTATGAATGTAGGTATTAAAGTTCGCCCCAAGAAGCATTAAAAACTTCAAAGAAATTGTATTCCTGCATGTCTTGGGTATATTCATGGTTTTTTCAATTGTGTTTTCCTATTGTTTGAGTGTTTTTGCATGAATCATTTTTTTTGGTTGAACACTGATATTTTCAATAGACCGCTGTAGTGGTTTTTTACTTGCTCGAACATATAAAACGCCAAGAGCTTGTCACACTTGTAGTCATTGAAGTTCAAGAGCTCTATCATTCCACTGTCACAGGAAATACTTAACACTACATTCCCGAAAGGAAAGCACGAAAATAATATCAAGTGAAAATCCGTTTAATGGAATTCGAAATTCAATGAAAATTAGCTGTTGACAGCATTAACGATTTAGGAACTCAATTCTATCGACAAGACGAAAAATTTATATAAAATTCCAATTAAAGTCTAACAGTCCGTGAAGGGAAAACCAATCATGTGTTGATACCGGCATTTTAAGCTCGAGAGAGCTATATATCATTTCGGCTTCGAGGAAACCGGGTTTTTTCCGAATTCCGATTTTTATGCAAACATTAACATTTGCTTAATTGTAGTGTAAGCGTTAAAGCCAGACTTTTTGTTGTGATGTTTGCATTAATAATGACTTTAACAGTTTAGCAATCTTGCTTCCTACAATAATAACGCGACCTTATATTACCTTTCAGTAATTTTTTTTTTTTTTGATATAAAAATTAAAAGCAGGAGTATTCGAGCTTCTAAGCGCACCTATTCCTCGTATTTTTTTAAATATTTTAAAGCCTCCTGTCTCAAAGACAAACTCGTTAATGTAGACTACATTTAAAACGAGAAAATTAACTGTTTAAGTATTCTGAAATATTCATGAAAATTTATCCGTTGATGTACTCTAAGCCAAGAAGTAAACGATTTGACCTTGCAATATAATATCTGGATAGCATCGAAAGCTATCTTTAGATCACTTACAAATCATTTAACACGTAAAATCGAGAAGATGAGTACGAAGATAAAGAGCTTGAACTTCAGTTCTTACTAATTCATAAAATTTTAATGGCCCATCGAACGAGCTTTCCAATGAAGTCGGAATTTCAAGGACCAGTAAGCTAGCTATAATATTGACATATTATACTCGATAGATGTACCTTATATCCACGGAAAAGTAGATAAACTTCGCGAGGTTTTACATCGGGAGGCAAGCCACTGACAAATAGGGTCCGAACCTAGAAAATATTAATATAAAATGTAAACATTGACCGCACAAGGGCGTGAGAGGTAAGCTATAATTGTCTAGAAAATTTCTTTAAATGCTTAAAGTGCTTAAAATTTACCAACCTCTTCCTCTTGGGTAGTTTTGGTGTCCATGGCTATAGAATGGTTACCGTTTTCCTGCATTTATAAGTTAGCTTTAAGTTAAGGGTGAATTATTAGTGTTCGTGCTAAGGCGAGTGCTGACGGTGTCTAGTGCAGTTAGTAGAGTTCCGCGAACTTCATACGAACATTCTAAAACATTGGGCTTCGTTTATTCTCAACAGCTGCGAATAGACGAACAGGTAATGCGTGACGTAATTGACTAATTCCTCCCGAGTGACATTCCATTGCTTGCACCCCCGACGGGGCACTGTCGTTGCTATGGTTTCCGACTTCAAAAAACAGCGGGGGTCTGGGAACTAATTGTAAAAATACTCCAAAACGAGGCTCCCTTTTCCCACTTCAATTTTTTTCTTCCCTAAAACAAAAATTCAAACGCTTTTTAAACCATCGCTAGAATTCGACAGAAAATGAGTAATGTTTTAAGGCACAAAAAGGCTTAAAATGGCAGACGTGCAGAAGTTTTTTCAAGTGTTCGCCACACGCCAGGGAACTCAATTAAAGAATTCCAAGCCATCACGCAAACGTCATGACCTTGGATAAAAAATTGCTAAAGAGTCAAATACTTCTCATTAGAGTCTAAAAAATCGTACTTCGTACAAAATGAAATTCAACAGTTTATTGATTTCAGAAAAAATATATGGCGACAAAATTATATCGAGGCTTCAACAAAAAAAAAAAAAATTAATTTTGATTTTTGTATCTCCGCGTAGGATTGTGATCGAACTTTGATAAGAGAATTAATTAAAAACGAAGAGTAAATATTTATTAGCAAAACAGGAAATGATTTTTGCTTATTATGGAAAACTTTCACACGGAAATGCAAATAAATAAATAAAAATATAGATATATAGATATAGATATGTTATTGAAAGTCATGGACTAGATTTTTATTTTAAATGTCGAATAAAATTTATTGAGTTAATTTGTTTTCTTTTATAATTTTTGCGAAAGAGATACCGCTTTTCTAGAACCTTCTCTCACTGGTCAAGTTCAGCCAAGTATTTAGAACTACGTCAAATTTTGAACCGACGTCAAACTTTGAATGCTAAACAAACAGATAAGCTTTGATTTTAAACTGATATCAACTATAAAGAAAATTATTTTATTTGTGCTAGTTTAGTGAATGGTACGATAATTTTTAAACCAGAAATCGCTCCAAAGTTTATGAATTACAAACTCCGAAGAATGAATAAATTAATAAATATAATATTGGTCTCTGTGAAAAAAATTGTCGCTATTTATACACAGCTGAACCGTGAAGAATGTAGACCATGTACGTAAACTATCGACAAATTTTGCATGAAAATAAATAATAAATTGAAAATTATTGAATGTTTCTATTTGCATATGGAATTCAGTCAGAAGTCAATTTTAGCTATTTGGTGCATTAATATTCAAGTTTTAAATAGTTTCTTTTAATATTTCATTGAAGAAGTTTCGTTAAAAAAATTAATTGATCGGGGATTTTTTCAAGCGTGAGGACTTGTCAGAACATGCAGAAAAAAATAATCCTAAATGTTACAATGAACTAGCTGATTTTTTTTTTTTTTTTTTTTTTTTTTTTTTTTTTTTTTTTTTTTTGAATACGTTCATTGCACAAGGCTTTCGTCTTTCTTTTTCACGACAAAAAAAACATGGTTGGTAGGCATTATTTTTTATGTTTGTTTTTAGGCGAAAAACGACAAAAGCTCACTCCCTCCCTCCCCTCCCTCCGAATTTGCATTGTGTCTGTTTCGTCATGTTTCTATTTAGTATTTTTACACAGTGTATATATTAAATCCGGCGAGCTCAATGATCACAAATTACGTCATGTGTTTTAGTATATACCAACTTGCCAACCTCCTAAGAACGCGTGCTCTGATTGGTTAAGATACCCTGAATATTCTACCATATTCACAATCAAATCCAAAACTCGGAATAATGCAAAATAAAAATACTAAAACAATTATTCGCCTTAGGCTCAGCGATGATATTGGGGGAATACGCTCGAAGACTTGCGTCTCGGTAAATATTTTCCGATATTCAACAAATTTAATTAGCAATTAGTCCTAAAGCCAGAATGGGCTATTTTGCTCATAGGCCATGAGGGCGAGAAGACTACTTGTTTTAGTCAATTTGTATGCAAACAAGCTTTCAATTCAAAATATCTTATAGCCTAGTAGTAGCTTGGCCCAAAATAGGGACCCGATTTTATGAATAGCGCAGCGCAACCGTGACGTCATAAAAATGAAGACAAAGGCGAAATTCGGACAAACAAACTTACAAGTTTACTTTCAGCAGATGATTTTCACAGCCGATCGCAGGTGATCTTAGTTTACATGGGTTATTATCGTAACTTTAAGTAAATGTAATAAAATCGGTTCGTATAATACTCGTAGCGGTTAAACAGAATTTTTTAGAATCAGTGCGCTGCGCTAGGTGGTGGATACCGGTACATACTCCCTCCCCCCTCAGATACCTGTTCAAATGCTCGATGCTGGGGGTCTGTAGTGGCAGTTTCTATACACAAATATTTTTTTTTAGCATACATGCAGACAGACAGTCTATTCATTTCTGTGATTTGGCTTTTAGTTTTGGATATATTTTGAGACAAAATCTAAGATTTCACTTCCAGAGGTGGTGGGTACCAGGTAACACCACCCCTCCCCCCTAAATTGGGTACCGTGAGAGGACAATTAGTTTGTCCTCATCCCTTATCCAATCAGAACGCAGCATTGATTATAGAGCACTAGTTGGATTTAATGAAAATATATATATCTCTATTCAGGTTTTGTTAATCATTGATGTCCACTTTAAATTAACTTTGAAGACAGAACTTGAACTGCCACCCTTCAATCTTTTTCTTTATTTCATTGTCATACTTGGGTTTTTGATAGATAAAAAGGGGATATATAACTCCATTTCAGTGAGAAAGCTTTCTAAAACTAAATAACCAACAGCTAGGATCAATCAACACTTTTTTCCTTTTCGCATTTGATTCCACAAGGTGAGAAATAAAACAGATCAGAAAAAAGATAAGGGCAAACAACGTTCTTGACTCACTTGGCCGACGACGTTCTTGGTCTTTAATCTCATTAAATGATTACCATGGCAACAGCAACTATCACTCGCAAGTAGCCTGGGAACGATCATCAGGTCGAGGCTCCTGGTTACCTTGACGAACACAATCTGAAAAAACATAAGAAATTACACTCAAAATTAACCTCAAAAATACTCATTTTTAGCTGGTTTTTCCACCATTTATAGCAACCATAACTTAAGATATACATCTAAGGAGGTTTCTGGACAATCAAAGTGGAAATTGAAGCATTTTCTGGTATAAAGATGGTAAGTAAAAGTCAAAAGGTTTCGAGTTGGCCGCCATCTTGAAAATCGCTCCAAAACATTCAGAAAAATCTTGTCATTCAAACCACTTGTTTTACTGATTCTTTATGTATAATTATATTTTGAGTTTCGTCAACTTACCGTTAGTATATGCTCATTGAATTTCGATATCTTCGTTGATTGTAGTAGCTTCGTTTATGTCACAGTTATAAGCTAAATCAAGCTGACTAGGAATTTGCAAACTTCCTCTAAATGTTTTACATAAGAATTGGAAATTGTACAATATTAAAAATACTTCTTGTAAAAATAGAATAGTCAGCTGCCTCTGTTCCTGCATATAAAATGCTTCATCAAATAATTTAAAAAATGAACATCTTGTAGACTCGTTTTTTTTCTTCTTGAGACACAAGCTTATAAATAAATGTGTTTGTACTTTAAGCTTTATTTTATCATTCTCCCCACTTTTTACACATATGTTTAATCCCTTTTTGGTGTTTAGAGTTTAGTAGGAAAAGGTAGAAAACAGGATTTTAAAGTCAGTCATTCACTTTCAGTTGTAAAAAAAGAGATTTCCATATAAACATTTTGTTTTTTATGCCAATTGAAAGTGTAGAGAAAATTAATGAAATCCAGAACCTTTTTCAACGTAATTGATTGCAGGACAAAATAACAGCGACTGTATATTAGATATTTAAACTAAGCATAGCTTGAATGGAAATTGACTGATAACGATTATTGAGCAGGATACTTTTTTGTACATTTTTAGGTAAAACTTAGAAAATACATAACAGATTTACATACATACAATGTATACTTTGTTGATCACTTCCCAGTGGGGCTTTTCAGCAACATAGTATTACAAACAACTGATATGTTTACAATAAAAAGGAAATCAATTAAAAAGAAACTCCATGACAAAATAATAATCAAATTTAAGCTAAAAAAAGTATCGCTCTGCATAACTAACCTTTACTTAAAATTATATAGGAGTTTTGCCTTTAATTATTTTTTTTTAAATATTTCTATTCAATCTTAATTTAAATTCTTTATTTATACTAATAATGATAATATAATAGTTTTCAATTTTACAAACTCTGATCTAGCATGCAAGAAGCTGAGAAAAAATGAGAGAAGCGTATAACAAATTGATAAAAAACACTGTTTTATTTTTCATATGAAAGTTCAAATTCAGAGAGTGCACAAGAAAAAAATGACATAAGCATTATCTAAATACTCTCATCTAAAATGGTTTCGACCAATCAGAGCTCATGCAAAAGAACTCAGTTATTTAAGAATGTATTCATAGTTCAGTGTGTCACGATTTCAGGCATCAATCAGAAGAGGGAACCTTACTCACATACAGCAACAGCGAATGCTTACAGAGACCCGACGCAAAGAAAACCTACGAGAGGACCAGATCAAAAGAATAGCACAGGAAAAAACTTTAGAGGCAAATTTAGCGAGTGAAGAAAGAATTGAAAATAGGAGATTTTTGAGGAGACTACAGCAGGAGGAGCAAGAACGACAGACAGATGAAGCCATTATCAAGGTACACATGTAACAGGAATTTTATGGAATTTATACTATTTAAATTTAAAAAAACTCATGAAGGAAACACAATTATAGAAATCATGAAGGGGGTTTTATATCTGATATAGATTCGTCTTCATTTGCATAAACTTTAACTTGGATTTTCTGTATCAAACTTGGTTCATTTCGTAAAGAATTCAGTACATGAGAACATACATCATCAGTTTTTTAAGCTGTTCAATAAACCCGCAGATCATGTTTTATCAGGTCTAAAAACACTCGGCTACTTCTCGTGTTCTTAAATCCTGATAAAACACTCCTGCGAGTTTATTAAACAGTACATGAAAATAACTGTAACTTTTTATGAATCTAAGTTTTGATTGGTTGGAGGTGTAAATAGGATGTGTACACACTTTACATTTTGTTATATCCCTATCCAATATTATGGCTGTTCTAATTTTGATTTTATAAAAGAAATAGAACAAAATAATGACATGCTGTGTGAGTTATGAAGAATTTGGGAATGCATAGACAGACAACAACAAATTTATTGCTTTAAGATATCAATATTTACAAAACATTTTGATGAATTATACAAATAATATAAATAAATGTTGCTCAAAATAACTGAAAAGCTAATTCTAGTTCAGAAATAATCTAAATGGTTTTCAATAATTTGAGAGGAGAAGAGAATAATATTTGAAAAGAGGGGAGAAGCAATTCACATACTATACCACGACCATGCTTTTAGGATTTATGCAGCCTAATTTTTGGTTGTCTTTTTTCATTTTTTATTTATTTATTTATTTATTTATTTCATTTATTCATTTATTTTATTTATTTTATTTATTTTATTTATTTTATTTATTTTATTTATTTTATTTATTTTATTTATTTTTTTTATTTTTTTTTTGTAAAGTAAAATGTAAAATTTTCAGGGCCTCGATTGTTTTTTTATGTGGGCCTCCCTCTTTAGAAAATCCTGGCCATTCCCCTGGATACTGAGTATTTATACCATTATTTTGCCCCATAGTCAGCGGAGCAGAAAAGAATCAAAGAACAACAACAAGAGCAAGATAAAAGACTAGCAAAAGAGCTAGAGAATCTCAAACTAGAAGCATTAAAAGATGAAAAACTGAGACAACATATCCGAGAAACAAGGTAATATTATTGAAGAAGTATGAGGATTTTGTAACATATTCAAGAAATGATAGTAATATTATTGAAGAAGTATGAAAATTTTGTAACATATCCAAGAAATGGAGGTAATATTATTGAAGAAGTATGAGGATTTTGTAACATATCC